CTGTGAGTAACAGACGTCCAAGATCCGCAGAAGAGCCAATACCTCTTTATACACAACTCCATAGTTGAGTTCGTTCGCCTTCATCGTGCGACTGGTGAAGGTCACCGGATGATACACACCCTCGTGTTCCTGCATCAGGGCCGCTAATATGGTCCACTTGTTCGCGTACAGCACGATGACGGGGGTGCGTTCCGGGTCGAAGTGCTTCAGGACAGGAGTGGCGATGCTCTTCGCCTTCAACATAGTAAATGCGTTCTTCGCCCTCGCCCACCTATCGCGCTCGCCCCCAGTTATTTGGCATGATTGGTCCGCGTCTAACGAGCCTCTTCTGCGTCCATCCTAGCGATTTCGTGAAAGTCTGCTTCTCGCATCTCGTACAAGATCGCTGCATAGACTGCGAAGTCCTCAATGAAGCGGCTGTAATAATTCAAGCTTCCGAGGAATGAGTGCATCGCCTTCAGCTTGGTGGGGAACGGAAGGTTGGCAATTGCGTCGAGCTCCTTCGGTTTTGCTTCCAGCCTGGCTGAGGATACTTCGTGTCCTAGATACGCTACCTTGCGTCGACCCCAGTAGCTCTTGACTACGCTGATCGACAAGTTCAACCGTTCACAGACGTCGAGCGGTTCGTCGACATGGTTGCATATGCTATCCCACGAGTCGCTGGTCACAAGGATGTCGTCCACATACGACGTCCGCCCGAGAACCGACGGCTTAGGCTCCGGCTCCGGCTCCCCTTCCTCGAAGACATCAACGGGGTTCAAACTGTCCTGATCAGGCTTGATACGCATGCGACCATATAATGCATTGTCGACGATCCGCTGATAGATCTGAGGAGCGTTCTTTAACCCGAACGGCATCCTCGTCTATTCGAACAGCCCAAACGGTGTGATGAAAGCCGACACCATCCTTGCTCGCGGGGTCATTGATACCACCCAGAAGCCACTAGCCATATCGAGGGAATAGTACCATAACGCCTTATCCAGATCTTCGAGGAGGCCGTTGATCAACGCCATGGGATATATCATCAGCCTCGTAAAGCAGGTAGTCGATACATAGGCGGATGTCGACTCCGTTAGCCTAGATGATGACTACGATGGGTGACGCCCAAGGTGAGGTGGAGGTAGTGATGATCTTTGCCGACAGCAGTCCCTTGATGAGCATTGACAGCTTCTCGCGGAATTGTGGCGCTACCCGTCGACATCGATGTCGCAAATAGCTCCGAAGGAGGCCGGTGGTAAGGCGTTACCGGTTCCTATCAGCAAGTGGCGTCGCTTCCATATGATGCGACGCAGTCGCTCGCGTTCCTCCGGTGTCGCGTGTGGATCATCTACTTGTATGTCGTCGATGGTGACTTCCTTCGAGGTAGCCTCCACTTCCGGCAGGACAGCCATGTTATTCTCGATTTCTTCAGGGAAGATGTCTCCGCCTTCATGGTAGCAGACACATCGTCCATGTCATCGTCAGCTTCCTCTTCCGGTTCAACTTCTGTCCCTCTCTGTTCCGTTGATCGCGGCTGTTCTCGATCACTCTTGGTCACTCCCTTTGGTTCCGTCGTATTGATACGACCCTCTTCCTCCGGTTGAAACCCTGTCGACACTTCGCCTGCGATATCTTGTGCAGTGGTCAACTCCTTTGCAGACGCCGACAGGACGACCACCGCTTTCCGCCGTTCTTGTCCACCCGATAGGATCTTGGTCAGTGGCTCGTACTGAGGCCTGTCTACCATTGGTTCTGTCGCAGTTTCGATCACCTCATCCACAACCTGCTGCTCAGTGGTGGCTTGCAACGCCAAGTTTTCCCCCTCAGCGTATCTCCGTGACCCGATCGAGACGAACCCTGGCATCCGCGGTACGTGGTTTCCAGCCAGCCAGATACCAACTCGGGTATCGCGTTGTAGCGTCACTGATCGTTCTGACACATTTGTTATACG